CGAGGCATAGTAGAAAATGACAACGAGAGTGGGGGGGCTGGATGTAAAATTTAATACGTACTATTTCATTCGTTTTTGCAAACTGGAAAAGTAGTGGAAGAGTTATTAGAGTTCAAATATTAATACTAACATTGGAATAAAACTGACAAATTTATCAACTCTAAGGTGTTCTGATCTATAAACTGTTGTTTTCCTATCTGTCATGCAGTAGGAAAGGAATGCTTCTGTTATATATGTTAAAACAGTTCTACTTTATTTGCACTAGGATTTATTAAAAACATGAAACTTTCTTCTTAGCTGAATATCTAATCCAATGGAACAAATCTTCCTTGCAGACAAAAAGATCGATGTGTGGGAATGCCTTGTTTGAAACTCAGAAATTAAAAGAAGACCATGTTCGCCAGGGGCAGTACTTCCTTGAGTACCTTAACTTTTCCTGCACTCGAACGTGCGATAGATGCCTTAATGAAGGTTGGACAAGAGGTGTTTCTGTCCAACGTTCTCCAGTTGCAGCCCTAGATGTTAGCGTGACGTCCACTGGAGACCAGATCGACAAGTTTCTTCCAAGTGTCCAGATACAGAAATTAATCAACGAGGGAAAATTGCCCTTTTCTGAAGGAAGGTTTTTGCAAGGGTATGTTCCCAGTACAACGTGGACGAGACTGCATGTAAAAGCTACGTACAGCACCTTGAGTTCCTCGATGCAAAGTAAGAGAAAGGAACACTCTTCCGCTTATTTCTTGGACAATTGAAAAAGATGTAAAAGTGCTTACCAACAAGCTGCTGAAAATGTATCTAAAGCAAAAAGGTCTTAAGATAAGTGGAAGCAAGGCTGAGTTGATCGATCGAGTTCTCACCCACGCGCGCGGGAACCTTAGTGCCATAGATGCTGTAGAAGATGAGGAATTTCCCAATTCATGCGAAGACGACAAGAGCTCAGAGTCTGATGACTCTTCAAATGACTCTTCGACATACGTCGAAAGTCATTTGAAGTGATGTTTGTGCCGGAGGAAGAAATCCAACAGGTAAAGTAGGTATGAGGGAATCAATGGGAGGAGACTTTTTTCAAAGCGGGGGAGGGTTAGCCTTAATATTATCATTATGTGAAGGGGGGGTTGAAATTAATTTTTTCGTAATGAGGGGGGACTATGACTTAGTTTGGGGGCATATTTCACCCATTTCCCAGTCCCCTCCCCCCCCCCCCCCCCC